ATCCCACCATAATAGACAATTTTCATCCAGTCTCCCACCTCCCCTTTTTAGGGAAAGTGGTTGAGAAGGGGGGGGTGTTGCAGCTCCAGAGGATCCTGGAAGAAATGGATTATCTGGATCCTTTTCAGTCAGGTTTCAGGCCCAGATTTAGGATGGAAATGGCATTGGTCGCACTCATGGATGATCTCTGCTGGGAGCAGGATGGGGGTAGTGCATCCATCCTTGCTCTTCTTGACCTCTCAGCGGCTTTCAATACCATTGAGGAGCACGTGGCAGTTGTGGCCAGGAGGGCCTTTGCCCACATTTGGGTGGTGCACCAGTTATGCCCCTTTGGATCAGGTGGATCTCCAGTCAGTCAGTCATGCCCTGGTCATCTCTCAGTTAGACTATTGCAAAGCACTTCACATTGGGCTATCCTTGAAGAGTATCTGAAAGCTACAGCTAGTTCAAAATGCAACCGCGTGGATGATATTAGATGCCCCTAGGATGGCACATGTAACATCTTTACTGTGGGAGCTGCATTGGGTGCCAGTTTGCTTCTGGGTCCAATTCAAGTGTTAGTTACCACCTTTAAAGTCCTACATGGCATGGGTCCAGTTTACTTCGGGGACTGTTTCACCCCCATTACATCAACCCGTCCCACCCGATCAGGCAGAAAGGGCATGTTGCGGACCCTGTCAGTGAGAGAATGTTGGCTGGCAGGGCCCATGAGGTGAGCTTTCTCTGCCGTTGCCCCTGCCCTTTGGAATATTCTCCCTCCAGAGGTGTGGTGGGCCCCTAGTCTCCTGGTTTTCTGGAAAGGACTTAAGACCTGGCTGTGCCAGCTTGCATTGGGCAAGAAGAGATTTAATCAATCCTGGGGGTGGCTGGCGCCCTGATGACACTCCCTGTGCTATTCGCCAATTCGTTTCTTGGAATTTATTATTTATTTAAGACTGTTTTTATATTGTATTTTAATTTATTTTATCTCCTTTTAAACCACCCAGAGTTGCTTTTTAATGAGACGGGTGGTGACAAATTTGAAATAATAAAATAATAATAAAAAAAATGCAAGCAGATAAAGAAGTGTATAACATGCAGCTGGAGTCGGCAAGCTAAGGTTGACAAAGTGTGGAAATTGAGTATTGCATATGATTTCTGTCTGGGTTTATAATTTATTTTCTGTCTATTCTTCCTATAATATCCTTGGGTCTCGCTCCACTGCTTCTTTGTCCACACTTCCTTATGTCAAGTGATAAGGTCTCTAGGGAGCTGTAATCATATTTGCATGAGCAAGTACAGCTCTGTGCAGTCTGGAAATGTAACCATTTCCCATCAGTTCCAATAAGAAGAGAGGATGGTCAGAATGTAAACCCAAACTGTCATATAAGTTTTTTTGACCTCATGCATTTTTAAGGAATGCTGGAGTAGGACTCAGATCAGTAGCAAATATCCAACTAGCATAATTGCTGCAAGCTGCACTGCTTGCTACCCAGTTAGATATACTGATTAGAACAATATTATTTCTTATACAGTTTCTATCTTTCCAACCAGGGGTAATCAAAGACTCCTTTCTCAGGACAATACATCATATATCAAATATAACACTATACCCCAAAACTGTGCTGGCATTTGGGGCAAAATGTCTTAATTTTAATGATATGAGTCTTTTGTTACTTTAATTAAAACTCACCAATATTTTTTATTTAGTTCTGGCCATTTTGGCCCAGTTTTTGCATAGGAGAGGGGGATTAAGGAGAGGAATAGGGGCAGGAGTTATCTGGAGACAAACTATTCCCATTTCCATCTTTCCACCCTGAAACAGCTTGAAGCTGACCTCAGGCATGACTAGTTGGGGTCACTGGGGGGTAGGAAGCTACATGGTAGGAATGCACCAGCAAAAAGGGGTAGTCCAAAATTGGCTGCACTCCTCCCAGTGACAACACCAGGTCATCAGACAGCCTCCCTTGAAAGGTCAGGAATTGCAACTAGGGCTACCTGATTTGGATGCAAAAATCCGGACTTAGAGGTTTCCCTGGCTTTTTAATTGACTTTTAATTGTATTTCAATCGGTATTGTTTTAGATTTTGAATGACAGCCTTGCTGCTCCCTAGTCTATATAGTGTTTTGATTTTGCATTTTATGATTCTTTATAAATAAATTTATAATTATAAATTACACACTGCCATATTTATAATTAAATAAGTATCTCCTTGCTGCTATATCAATCAGTGATTGTCTGCATTTTTGCAGCTCAGATTTGGTAGGTCTAGTTGCAGCCCCCAGCTCCTCCAACATTGCCCATTCCTGGATCATAGTACAACATATTTGTTAGTCTTTAAGGTCCCACACTCTTCTTTAGTATTTTGTTACAACACTGTTGCCTCTCAAACTGTTATCTCAAATCATATTGCAACATTTTACAACTGACAATAGCAACAAAAATGCAAATAAAATACAAATCTTGAACTAATGGATCTGCCTACAAGCCATTTTTGAATTATTACTGCATAACAGTATGGCGAACAACAAAAGAAACAACAACTGTATCATACCTCTAGCATAACCACACAGATTTGCTTTACGCAGTGAATAATAGCTTCGGGAGTACCCGATATAGTTACAGCACGTTCTGTAGAGTTTGGTAACATATCACCTGCAACCTGTACTTGGGCTCCTGTGGACTTAAAAACAAATAGAAATATTGCCAAAAAGAAATTACATTTAGAATCATATTATTCACTTCAGTCACACACACTTCTATAATGACACAAGAATTCATGAAATGGCTATCCAAGTGCTTCCATTGTAATAAACTAACATTATCTCTAAAAAGATGTTCAGTAGGCATCAACTGCTTAATCTTAAATCTCATAATTGATTTTTCTAAGTTAAGCCATCATTGGGATTTAGAACATGGATGACATCATTTCTTTCCAAACATTCATTTTCTAAGTGCTTGTAATTATTGGAATGGTGATCTAACATGGTTCTGTCACAAGTGGGAAGTGTAGCAACAGAAGACATCAGAAGACCAAGTGAGACATAGTTCTTTGGAATTTTGAACTTACCATCTACAGTGGTACCTCGGGTTACGAACTTAATCCGTTCCGTGACTCTGGTCGCAACCCGAATTGGTCGCAACC